ATTTTTATTAGCTATACATCAGACAAGGGATGATAACCAGAATATAAAGGGAGCTCAAGAAAACTAAACTCCCCAAAAATCAATGACTCAGTAAAGACATGGGCAACTGAACTGAACAGAGCTTTTTCAAAGGAAGAAGTCCAAATTGCTAAAAAACACATAAAATGCTCATCATTCTATCCAAAAACAAATTTGGTTGCTCATACACTCCTGGTGGTAATGTAAGCTAGTACATCCACTGTGGAAAACAATATGGACGCTTCTTAAAAAACTAAAAATAGATCTTACATCTGATTCAGCAATACCACTCCTAGGGATATAACTGAAAGAATGTGAGTCAGGTTACCACAAAGGCACCTGCACAGCAATGTTTATTGCAGCCCTATTCACAATAGCTAAGCTACGGAAATAGCTAACATGCTCAACTACTAATGAATGTATTAAGAAATGTGGTATTTATACAAAGTGGAATTTTACTCAGCCCCCAAGAAGAATGAAATTTTTCCATATACAGGTAAATAGATGGAACTGGGAAATGTCATCTTAAGTGAAGTTAGTCAGGCTCAGAAGATGAAAAACCGCATTTTCTCCCTTATATACAGATTATAGACCTACAACAAATGTAGCAATATTATGCAACATCTGTCAACTAAGGGGAGGCCATGCACAGGAGGGATAGGGCAAGGGAAGGAAACCAAAAACTTGAATGTGGTTGATATGTTTACTGTGTAGAAATGAATGCAGAAATCTTAAACTGGCTGGAGCCACCTTGGGAATACGACTAGGGAGGAGCAAAGAGGTCTGGTAGAGTAGAACCTATTGTATTTGTAATACATATACACATGAAGCCATGCAAGTAATCTTTTGTGTAGCTCTCTTTATCTCAAATTAGCAAAAATGTCATTTTTCCCTTTTTGTCTTTTATGATTTTACTTCTACAAAATCGGAGAACAGGAGGACTGAACAGGTTCTGTCTGGGGTGGGGGAATTGACCCCATTTGCAGGGGAAGTAGCAGGGAAAATGCTATGAGGATGAATAGAGTGCAAGTAATGTATACACATATATGTAAATAAAAAATCTGGTATGTGTTGAAATTATTCCATGAATCAGGGAGTGGGAATGAAAGAGAGCAGTGGAGGAGTTGATTTCAACTATGATGTATTTGTTACATTGTACCAACCTGTGTAAATGCTGCAATGTATCTGCACCCAGCACAACAATAAAAAATAAGATAAAAAAACTCAAGTGTTTGCTGTTATTTATTTTTTAAATATCTGACTGTTGACTGCTAAACATATGTTCATGCCTTGTTTGTTATCAGTGTGATATGTGATTATAAGCATTTAACTGAGTCACCTTTATAAAAAGTTGAAGGTCAACAAAGACACTGATATTAGTTATACTTTAAATTACTTTAATTCTAATCAAATTTGAGGGAAAAGAATCTTGCTAAAATAATGGAATTCAGAACATAGTCCCCTTGGGATATAATTAGCACACCAACATGTTTTCTTATAATGAACTGTCATCTTCAATGAAGTGGTGTGTCATGTAGTATGTATGAATATTCTACATCAGGGAATTTTATATAATTTTATTTTAAGAAATTGCGATATATTTGATCCTAAATTTCCTTCAATTACAGTGACATTTTTCTTCAAATGAGATAGATATTATTTATTCTCTACTTTCCTTTTTATGTTTTTAAATTTTTTATTATTCTTTTATTCACATGTGCATACATTGTTTGGGTCATTTCTCCCCTTTGCCCCCATCCTCAATCCTCTCCCTCCTCCCCTCCTCACTTCCAGGCAGAGTCTGTTCTGCCCTAATCTCTAATTTTGTTAAAGAGAAGAAATAAGCATAATAAAGAAGACAAAGCGCTTTTGCTAGTTGAGTTAAAGATAGCTATACAGAAAGATTCCTAGCACTGCTTTCATGTACAAATGTGTTACAACCCAAGTTGATTCATCTCTAACTGATCTTTACACTGGTTCCTGATCACCTTCTCATGTCAACCTCTATCTCTTTAAGGTTTCTGTATTAGTTCCTCTGAAGTGGGCATATCAAAAGCTTCTTTTGGGTTTTTTTTTATCTATTCCCATATCTCCCATATGTGATCTCCTCTTGTCATGTGATCCAAGTCCAACCACATTGCTGCATTTGCCCTAGGTCGAAAGTCCACATGAGGGAGAACTTACAGTTTTTGGTCTTCTGAGCCTGGCTGACCTTGCTCAGAATGATGTGCTCCAGTTCCATATATTTACTTGCAAATGATAGGATTTCATTCTTTTTCATGGCTGAGCAAAATTCCATTGTGTATAAATACCACATTTTCTTGATCCATTCATCAGTACTGGGGCATCTTGATTGTTTCCATAACTTGGCTATTGTGAATAGTGCTGCAATAAACATGATGTGCAGGTGTCTTTGCAGTAACGTTTTAATTTTCTTTGGGTATATACACAGGAGTGGGATTGCTGGATCATATGGCAGGTTTATGTTTAGATTTTCAAGAAGCCTCCAAATTTTTTTCCAGAGAGGTTGCAACAGCTTGCATTCCCACCAGCAGTGTAAGAGGGTTCCTCTTTCCACACATCTTTGCCAACACCTGTTGTTTGTGGTGTTTTTGATTATGGCTATTCTAGAGGGGTGAGGTGGAATCTTACTGTGGTTTTGATTTGCATTTCCTTTATGGCTAGAGATGGTGAGCATTTTTCATGTGTTTTTTGGTCATTTGAATTTCTTCTTTTGAGAAAGTTCTATCTAGTTCAGATGTTCATTTCTTAATTGGTTCATTTCTTTAGGACAGCTTAGTTTCTTAAGTTCCCTGAATATTCTGGTTGTCAGTCTTTTGTCTGATGTATAGCTGGCCAATATTTTCTCCTACTCTGTGGGTGGTCTCTTCAATTTAGAGACCATTTCTTTTGTTGTGCAGAAGCTTTTTAATTTTATGAAGTCCCATTTCTCCATCATTTCTCTTAGTTGAAGAGCTGTTGGGGCTCAATTGAGGAAGTCCTTTCCTATACCTATTATTTCCTGAGTATTCCCTGCATTTTCCTCTACTAACTTCAGAGTTTGAGGTCTGATATTAATGTCTTTGATCCATTTTGAGTTGATTTTAGTACAGGGTGATAGACATGGAACTAGTTTCAGTTTCTTGCAGATGGGTAACCACTTTTCCCAGCAGCATGTCTTGAAGAGGCTGTCTTTTCTCCATCATATAATTTTGGCCCCTTTGTCAAAAATGAGATGGGTAAAGTTGTTTGGATTCATTCCAGGTCCTCTATTCTATTCCACTGGTCTTCATGTCTGTTTTTGAGTCACTACCATGCTGTCATTTATTGCTATTGCATTGTAATTTAGTTTGAAGTCAGGTATTATGATAACTCCAGCATTGCTCTTTTTGTTGATTATTGCCTTGGCTATTCTCAGTCTCTTGAAATTTAGTGTAGATTTTTCAATCTCTGTGATGAATGTCATTGGTATTTTGATGGGAATTGCATTAAAAATGTAGATTGCTTTTGGTGGTATAGCCATTTTTACTATGTTGATTCTACCACTCCATCAGCACAGGCATTCTCTACCTCTTCTGTAGTCTTCCTCCATCTCTTTCTTCAGGAGTTTGGAATTCTCCTTGTAGAGGTCATTCATGTACTTTGTTAAGTTTATTCCTAGGTATTAGATTTTTTGAGTTTATTGTAAATGGAATATTTACAATATTTACATATTCCTTCTCAGTTTGTTTGTTGGTGTATAGAAAAGTTAATGATTTTTGTAAGTTGATTTTGTATCCTGCCACCTTGCTAGAGTTGTGTATGGTGTCTAAGACTTTTTGAGTAGGATTTATTTGGTCTTTAAGGTATAAGATCATATCATCTGGAAGCAAGGATATTTTGACAGTTTCTTTACCTATTTGTATTCCTTTTATTGCTTCTTCTTGCCTATTTGCTCTGGCTAGAAATTTCAGTACTATGTTGAATAGGAGTGGGGCTCGTGGGCACCCTTGTCTCATTCTGGATTTTAGAGGAAATGATTTCAATTTTTCACCATTACGTATGGTGCTAGCTGTAGGTTTGTCATATACAACCTTTATAATGTTGAGGTACATTCCTTCTATTCCTAGTTTCTTAGGGCTTTTATCATGAAGTGGTGTTGGATCTTGTCAAAGGCTTTTTCTGCATCTATTTAGATGATCAAGTGGTTTTGTTTTTGCTTCAATTAATGTTCTGTATTACATTTATAGATTTGCATATGTTGAACCACCCCAGCATCCGTGGGATGAAGCTGACTTGGTCATGGTGTATAGTATTTTTGATGTGTTTTTGGATTCAGTTTGCCATTATTTTATTGAGGATTTTTGCACCGATGTTCATTAAGGAAATTGGCCTATAGTTCTCTTTTTTGGGGTGTTTTTGTCTGGTTTTGGGATGAGAGTCATATTGGTTTCATAAAATGAGTTAGGCAGTGTTCCTTCCCTTTCTATTTTGTGGAACAGCTTAAGAAGAGTTGGTATTAGTTCTTCTTTAAACGTCTGAGAGAACTCACCTATGAATCCATCAGGTCCTGGACTTTTGGTTTTTGGGAGACTCTTGGTACTGCTTCAATTTCTTTTTGTGTTATTGATCTATTCAGGTGATTAATATCCTCTAGGTTCACTTTTGGGTGGTTGTAAGTTTCTACAAATCTGCACATTTCTTCAAGATTTTCACATTTATTAGAGTATCGGCTCTCAAAGTAGTCTCTGATGATTTCCTTGGTGTTTTTTGTTATCTCCCCTTTTGCATTCCTGATTTTACTGATTTCAGTTTTTTCTCTCTCATTTTAGTCAGGTTAGCCAGGGTTCTGTCAATCTTATTTATTTTTTCAGAGAACTAGCTTTTTGTTTCACTGATTCTTTGTATGTATTTTTTGTTTCTATTTCATTGATTTCAGCCTTCATTTTAATTATTTCTTTCTTTCTGCATGTTTTGTAATTTGTTTGTTCTTGTTTTTCTAGGAGCTTGAATATGGCCTTAGATCACTGGTTTGAGATTATTTCGGACTTTTTAATATATGAACTTATGGCTGTCAACTTTCTTCTTCGGACTGCTTTGCTGTGTCCCATAAGTTCTAGTATGTGGTGTTTTGATTTTCATTATCTTCCAGGGATCTTTTAATTTCATCTTTTATTTCATTGATGAAATAAAAAACATATTTGCGTGTTTTTTACTGCTGTTTTTGTTGTTGAGTTCTTGTTTTAATGCATTGTGGTCAGATAGAATGCATGGGATTATTTGTATTTTCTTATATTTGCTGAGGCTTGCTTTGTGCCCGAAAATATGATCAGTTTTTGAGAATGTTCCATGGCTGCTGAGAAGAATGTATATTTTGTAGAAGTTGATGAAATATTCTTTAGACATCAGCTAGGCCCATTTGATCTATGGTGTGATTTACTTCTAGAATTTCTTTATTGACTTTTTGTTTGGATGACATATATACTGCTGCAAAGTGGGTATTAAAGTCTCCCAGTACCACTGTGTTGGAGTCTATATATGTTTTTAGGTCCTTCAGAATATATTTAATGAAATTGTGTGCATTGATGTTTGGTGCATGTAAGTTGATAATTGTTATTCCTTTTGTTGTATTTCCCCTTTTATTAATATGGAGTGACCTTCTTTATCCCCTTTGATCAATGTACGTTTGAAGTCTACTTTGTCCAAGATAAGTTTTGCTACCCCTACCTGTTCTGGGGGGCCACTGGGTTGGTAAATCTTCTTCCAGCCTTTCACTCTCAGTCAGTGCTTATTTTTTTTGATCAGGTGGGTCTCCTGTAAGCAGCAGATTGTTGGATCTTCCTTTTTAATTCAGTTTGCCAAGTGGTTTCTTTTGATGGGGGAATTAAGTCTGTTAACATTCAGTGTTTTTTATGGATAGTTATGTGATTATCCTTGTCATTTAGTTGTCTTTGTTGATTAAGGGTTTGATTGTGTGCAGCTGAATCAATATTACTCTCTACTTTCTTGCCTGTTCTTCTCCTGTGTTTTGGTATTGTCTGCTCTTTCATAGTTTTGTTTGCTTTCACTTTCTGTGTGCAGAATTCCTTGGAGAATCTTTTGTAGTGGTGGCTTGGTAGTTAAATATTGTTTTAATTTATGATTATCATGGAATACTTTTATTGCTCCATGTATTTTGAATGATAGTTTTGCTGGGTAGAGTATCCTAGGATTGAAGTTATTTTCATTCAGTGCCTGCAAGACTTCACTCCATGCTCTTCTTGCTTTTAAGTTTTCCATTGAGAAATGTGCTGGATTTTGATGTGTTTAGCTTTGTATGTTATTTGTTTTTTCTCTTTTACAGCCTTCAATATTCTTTCTCTAGTCTCTGTGCTTGTTGTTTTAATTATAATGAAGTTCTGTTTTGGTCAGTCTGTTCGGTGTTCTGGAGGCTGCTTGTACCTGAATGGGCAAAGTTTCTCTAGATTTCGGAAATTTTCTGTAATTATTTTGTTGAATATATTGTACATTCCTTTTGCTTGCATCTCTTCTCCTTCTTCAATGCCCATGACTCTTAAGTTTGGTCTTTTGATGGAGTCAGTGAGGTCTTGCATTTTCTTTTCACAGTTCTTGAGCTGTTTAACTTCAAGTTTTCCTTTATTTGCCATTTCATCTCAAGTTCTGAGATTCTGTCTTCTGTTTGTTCTATTCTGCTGGAATGGCCTTCCATTTTGTTTTGTATTTCTGTTTTATTGTTTTTTTGAAGTTTTCCCTATTGTGGGTCACTTCCTTTTTAATATTGTCAATTTTATTCCTTAGTTCATTTATCTCTCTATTTATGGTGCTCTCTGTTTCAGTTTATTATTTATTTAGGGCTCCTATGATTTCATTTATTTGTTTTTGGGTTTTCTCATATTCTTTATTTTTGTTGTCTTGGAATTTCTTGAGTGACTCCTGTGTGTTTTGGGTGACCATGTCTAGTAACATGTCTATGAAATTCTCAACTACTTGCAGGATTTCAGAATGTATCTCAGCATATCAAGCCTATATATTCATACCTACAACAATATCATACTAAATGGGGAATTAAGCAAAAGCATGTCCTCTGAAGTCAGGAAAGAGACAAGGTTTGCAGTTTTTCTCCACTGATGCTGAGGGAAAATGGAGGATAGGGTCAATCTAATTGTTACAGTATCGGTATAATTATCAGTATATATTGAACAATAAATATATGCTAATAAATAAGAAGTTCAAAATATAAGAGTAAACTTAAATAAGCAGGTGAGAGACCTTCACCATGCTAAGTATAGAACATTGAAGAATGTTACTGAAGTAGTCCCTAGAAAATGGAAAGATGTCCATATTCATGTATGAAGATAATCAATATTGTGAATATGGCCATATTAGCAAAAGCAATCTACAGATTCAGCAAAATCTACACCAAAATTCCACCATCATTTTAAACATAAATAGAAACTTGATAATAAAAACTGTACTGAAGCATAAAAGATCTTGAATAGTCAAAACAATCCTGACCACAAAAAGGAATGTTAAAGCCATCATAGTACTGTGATTCAAAAGATCCCATAAAGCTGTATTAACAAAAACAGCATGGTAATGGCACAAAAATAGACAAGTACACCAACAGAATAGAATAAAGAAGAACCAACAATCCACACAGCTACAGCCATCAGATTTTTGGCCACAGGACCAAAAATAAATCATGGAGATAAAACAGCCTCTTCATCAAATTGTGTTGGACAGAATGCTAACATTAGATTCCTATCTTTCACTTTATACCAAATCAATTCAAAAATTAGTCAAGCATTTTTATAGAATATCTGAAAATTTGAAACTACATAGGAAAATGTAAAGGACAGGCAAAGAAATTCTTATTAGAATTCTAATAGCCAAGGAAATTGGAGTAGAAAATGACAAATGGGATGGGATTGTGTTTAAAGCTTCTGCAAATCAATCTAAACAATCGTAGAGATGATGTGGCAGCCAATAGAGTGGGAGAAAATCTTTTCCAATGATACTTCAGAAAAAAAGGATTAATATCCAGAATATATGAAGAGAGTCAAAAATGTAAGCACTGAAAGAATAATCCAATTAGTAAATGGGGAATTGAATTGAAAAGAGAATTCTCAAAAAAGAAGCAAAATATGGCCAATAAATTCAGGAAGAATTTTTCAACATCTTTAACCATAAAGGAAATGAAAAATGACATTGCCATTCTATCTAACCAGAGTTAGAATGGCTTTTATCAAGTAAGCAAACAATGGCAAATGCTCTTGTGGATCCATGGAAAAATGAACACTCATGCACTGTAGAAAAGTAAATTTGTGCTGCAAGTATGGAATTTCATACTAAACTAAAAATCGAATTGTCATAAGACTCTGCCCTATCACTTGTGTATATATAACTGAATGAATGTAGGTTCTCATACAATCTGTATACTCATGTTTATTGTGTATTCACAATAAACAAGCTATGGCATGAGCCTAAAGTGTGGTGTGTATACAAACGATGGGATATTTTCTGGCTTTAAGTAAGGACAAAATTAAGTTATTTCCAGGGAAATGGATAGAAGTGGAGGTCATTGTGTTAAGCAACTTATGCAACACTTAGAAAAAGAAGTATCATTTTATATCCCATGTAGACAATCTATACCTAAGAAAAAATTCACACAATTAAAAAAGGCAGACTATTTTGTGGTGGTGCCCTGTGAGAAGGTTAAAGAAACTGTTGACAAATATGATCATTGTACATTATGTACATGTGTAGAAATTAAGATAATGAAATCTATTATAAATACAAAAAAGGAGGGAGAAAGGAATGAAAAAGTAATAGAGGGGGTGCAAACAGCCAAAGTATATTATATTAATGCATGGAAATACCACACGCAAGCCCCATTTTCAATTAATATGCAAAATTGCAATTTAAAAATTAAAAGCCCAAAAACCTTGCATGTAATCCATGCTAGCCATGAATTATCAATCCTCACGTCTCTGCCACATACATGATGGGATTACAGGTATGTGTCATCACACCCACCTAAAATTGTTAAATTTCATTCCAGTATAGAAAATCAGATGAGTATATAAAATCCATAGAAGTAAGGGAATGGATTAGTACATATGAATGTCCCCTGAGTAGAGAAGAATCCAAATCTATTTTGGACATTCATTTTCAGTTCTTACACCATTAATATCAGAAAATCCATTGGGATTGAGAAACTTGGAACAATTTGGCTAACTATGAGCTATGTGCATTGAACCTCCAAAGTTGTATACAGTCCATAATTAACATATCACTCCACTTCATTTTTATGACTCCAGTGATGGGGACTATGTCTTTACCTCCTCCACTATGGTTGTCCTGATAAGGAAGTTCCTAGCTAACACTGTTCCCAATACTTGTGGGGAAAAAGGTTGAGCCTTCACCAAGTCACAGACAAGTGGAGGTTTTCAGATATTCACTCCTTAGTCATGAAACAGCAGAGAAGCAGCTTAACACAGTAAGTGCTAAGAGAGATGCTGAATGTGGGGAGGACCACTAGAAGTTATGTTTCTTCTTTATGAAGATGAACCTTATTGATTAGATAGCCATAAAATTTCAGTTTTAAAAAGTGTTAAATTTATGATGTTAGTTCTGGTGGTATGGTTTTATTCAAAGCTTATTTTCCACTGACCATGGTACTACTTTGCATATAAACGTCATTCACAGAAACTGAAAATTGGTCCCATTAAACTGTTTCCTAAGAACCACAAAATGATAAGGATGTTGATGCTGAGGAAGAAGTGGAGAATGGTAACTAACATCTGGAAATGTTTTGAGGGATATCTAAATTGCAGGTGCTGAGCCAAATCTTCTATGTGGGTTGTTTCATTTAAGATGCCTCATCTTCCTGTAGCTATAAGTGCCCACAGAATTGTATTACAGAAAATGAAGGAGTATATTGATCTTAAGTAACATGGATCAGGTTGATATGTAGAAAAGAGTGCATTCATATATGAATTGGGTTACTGGATTACAGTCACAGGACATCATACCTGGAGAACTCTGACATGATGCCCCTTGAAAACCCAACCTGCCACTCCAGGAAAAGATGCTTTCTCCCTATACTTTTCTATTTGTATTTATGGTAGATCAAAAGTAAGAGGAGTTATGTCCAATATTAGTGCAAAAAATATTAAGATATTATTGTTAATAATAAAACTAAAATCATGTCATCTGATGTTACTGTTTTATATTTCAAATGGGACACTTTTTATCTTCATAAGAGTATATGCATATATTCAGAGAAGCATGAATATTCTTTAATTTCTGATTCTGAAGAGCCTATAATATAACTGGCACATATTTGGCATAAAAAATAAACTGTTGAACATTAAATAGATGCTTCCAGTGTCCATAACTGGCTGTAATTCTGTGACCTCAAAACAGCCAGTGCTTATCTGTTTCTGGTTTCTTCCATTTCAAGAATCTCCCACTGAACTAGAGAAAAGAAAAAATATTACTTTCTTGTTTGTTTTCCTTAGAAACATGTGCCCTATACTCCCATTACATCATGTCTATGTCAGTAAATTAAAAACAGGTGGAGGTTTTCATGGGTATAAAAGGAGAATAGTGTACAGAAAACAGACACATGTAAACCTCATACCTCAGGCTGTGAGACATTTTAGATCTTCATGTAACCCATGTTCCAATACCATTTGAGAATTTTATTCAGTAGTGAGTCCACTATTTCCATTTTGGAGATATTTGCACATATTCTGCACATTTTTCCATTTTAATGACTAGTGACATGAGATCAAAAATGGTAATTTTCTGGCTCCCATATCTCCCCACTGAGAAGGATGTACAAATGTATTATTGTTCCCCATCAATTTGAAATTTCAAACTGCCAGGATAAAGTTGATGAGAAATCGAAAGAATAAGAGCATATAGATGATAATGAATGATTTGCTTTAAGACAAGGTCTGAGGAAAAGCCCACGTTTTCCCCTAACTGGAAACCCCTCTCCTTCAATGTCAGTGAGTGCTAGGATTACAGGCTTGTGGGATCACACCTGCTCCTAATTTTAAAGTGTTAATTGTAGGCACTGAAGAGTAAAATTGGTCATATATTATTCATTTGAAATGAGAGAACTATCCCTCAACAACCCTTTTTATAGATTTTTTCACTTATTTGTCATGTGGAGGCACAAGTATTATATGAGGACTGTCATAATAAGAAACTTACAATTTAAAAGGATCACTCTCTCAGTTAACATTGTTTATCTTTTAAAGCATTTGAAATAGATCCGTGTACTTCACAGGGACACTTAAAACCCCTGCAAATGTAAACTCACAAAGTTTAAGGGCAACAGATGTCATGTTCTGTACTAGACAAATGAGCTTAAATAAGGATTTTAGGGTAATCTATTTATTGAAACAAAAATCAATAATAAAATGGAAATATCCATAGGAATACTTACTCCAATATTCAGGACAATAGTACCATTTATGGAAGGTGATCAAAAGAATGCCATCATAGGGAGATGCCTAGAATCCAAATTTTATAGGAATTTTTCAGATTTCTAAACTATACTAGATATGATGTAAATATTATTAAAAGTTTATATGTTATATAAACAAGTCTTATTACTGATAGCAACAGTAGTTACTATTCATGTGACATTTTCTAAATGCCAGAAAGTATTCAAAGACTATGATTTTCAATACTGGTCAAACAGAACACAACAACTTCAAATGCTTATTCTCCTTATGTTACTAGGTTTGGTTTGAGGCCAGATTACCTGAATATTTTCAAATATCCAAAGTTAAATATATTAATAAGTGTACTGAGTGCCGCCAGTTCCATATAGCATGTTAAAGCAGTTCCTTACAATAATCATACAAGGTAATTTTTTATTACACCCATTTTACAGTTAATGGGAATGACATTATTTCCTGGTGTGTTTACATTATTTTCTGTACTCTTCACTTTCATAACTGTGCTTGAGATGTGTTTAAATTATTTCATGTAATTTTCTGATTTTTGCATTTTCCCCCCAAAGTTAATCATACAATAGCCAGATAAAACAAAAAGCCCAATTTTTCTCCTAGTAGCTGAAGTAAGAAAATTGAAACCCATGTATCAGGAAATATTTATAAAAAGAAACATATTAACTAGTAATAATAAGCTTTGGAATCAGATCTGGTCTTTAAGGATTTTCTTGAGTGCTAAATGCCACAAGTGCAAATACATGTTTGTGATCAGGTAAACAATGTATCACATGAGTATGCTGATCTAGAATGGAGAATCAATACAAAGAAAAAAATGAGGAACTCTCTTACATACCAGATAGTTTACAGATACTTTATGGGTTGATAAAAATAAACCTGCATAAAATTTTAAAATTACTTATTCATTTTTTTCAAATTATTTTGCATTACATGCAAAATAAATTTTAAAATATAAACAATATTTGGGTGAGCACAGACATCCACAGGGAGGGAAATCTGAAATCCCAAGAATACCAAAAAATTCCTGGGATATGATATGCATGCAAAAATATCTGTTGGAATATGAACTACCTGTTTCATATCATGCAGTCACAGTCCTTATAAAGTGTTTATAAATACTCTGAAGACAAGGGTAATTGCTTCTTTTTCTTAGAAAAAGATGGTCAATTTGCACACTTTTTAATTTCCTCAAATTAGATATTGTGCTTAAAAATTAAGGCATTACTAAATAATTAATTTTTAAAAAGAATACACTGTATTTCACAGGGATCCTGTGATTGTTACAACTAATATTCTTGCTTTTCTACAGTAGTTAAGAAGAATGTCGATAAAGTAGATGTGTTCAGAAGGAGGTAATTAACCTACAATGAAAAAGTACAAAGAATGGGTTTGGCATAATTGATAAATATTGGAAAAAGATATGTGAAATTCAAGTGTGAATTCTTGTGAGTTCATTCAAAATATGTACAGTGAGGAGGTGTCTTATTTGTTTCACATTCCAACAAATTTTCTTTTTTCAAAAGGGTACTGAACAATATACAAACAAAAAATGTTACACTTGTCTCAGAATTCCATCTGAAGGAACTCTCAGAGGATCCAGATCTGCAGCCCCTTCTCTTTGGACTGTTCCTGTCCATGTACCTGGTCACAGTGCTTGGGAACCTGTTTATCATCCTGGCTGTCAGCTCTGACTTCCATCTCCACACCCCCATGTATTTCTTCCTCTCCATCCTCTCCTTGGCTGATATCTGTTTCATCTCCACCACGGTCCCAAAGATGATTGTAAATATACAAACTCACAGCAGAGTCATCTCTTACATGGGCTGCCTGACACAGATGTCTCTGTTTATCATCTTTGCATGTATGGATAGTATGATTCTGGCTGTGATGGCCTATGATAGGTTCGTGGCCATCTGTCACCCTCTGCATTACTCTGTGATTATGAACCCTCGATTCTGTGTCTTCTTAGTTTTGGGGTCTTTTTCCCTCAGCCTGTTTGAATCCCAGTTGCATGATCTGATTTTCTTACAGCTTACATGCTTTAAAGATGTGGAGATTGGTAATTTCTTCTGTCATCCTTCCCAGCTCTTAAACCTCACTTGTACTGATGGCTTTAGCAATAGCATAATCATGTATGTTATTGGTGTCATACTTGGTGTTTTTCCCATATCCGGGATCCTTTTCTCATACTATAGAATTATTTCTTCAATTCTGAAAATTCCATCATCAGGTGGGAGGTATAAAGCCTTCTCCACATGTGGATCTCACCTGTTAGTTGTTTGCTTATTTTATGGGACAGGACTTGGGGAATATTTTGGATCTGTTGTTTCCTGTTCTTCCAGAAATAATTCAGTGGCTTCATTGATGTACACTGTGGTCACCCCTATGCTGAATCCATTTATCTACAGCCTGAGGAATAGGGAAATTATTAGTGCTCTGAAGAAGCTTCAGAATAGAATAGTCTACCCTCGGGTTGTTTGGCATCCATTTAGAATGTAGGTATGATGGTCCCAATTCCAGTGGTTTCCATACTTGTGCCTGTACCTAATGTGCATTTTAAATTAAGAAGCTGCTGTTTATCTCTGTTCAAATCTATTGTAAAACCTGAGACTTTCCTGACAACCATTCAGTAAATGGTCTTTGGATCTGAACTCATTGATCATGACCCAATAGAATCAGTCAGTTTGGAGAGAGATGAAGGACACAGGATGGAGTGCCTGAAACACTGTGGGCTCCTCATTAGTACAAACATGTAGCTTTGGTAGGCCCATGGGTGGATCATAATATGGAGAATATAAGCTGTGGGGATTTTGATGTTTATATGTTTTGGTGTTTAGTTGTGGTAACCCAGAGATTTCATTCAATGATTGCTTTTCTCCTCACTTCTTCTTCTTCCCTGAACATCTCATCCAATATGGAAGCAAGTGAGTCCCACAATTTCTCCCCTAAGCATTACATGTGGTTTATGAAGGTATTGATGAGGACAGGAATGGGAATAAGTTAATGCCATAGCATTAAGAACTTAAAAGGAGTGATTATTGAGTTCTAGGCTCTCACTTATGTGCTTTATGTAAATTATTTTTAATTGATCAGTAGTCTACCCTTGCTTGTAAGTTCAACAGTATGTTTATTTTACACTGAATTAGGCAAATATTTTTATGTAAGTTATACAAATACTTAGACCAAAAACTCTATGTCTTTTGTGAATTGAGATTCCTAATTAGAGATACAGAAGCCCTGCACCAAAAACCACGGCATCCTGTCGTTCTACCAGTCAATTCACTTCCTTGTCTCTGCAGTATGAGACTTCTCCCTCCTACACACACGCACTGGTAAGTTTCTGCCAGACTTTAAGGCAAATGAGTGCTTGGCTGAGAAAATTGGGAAAAGCCAGGGAAAGACAAGATACACAACCATTGAACACAAACCTGTCTCTTTTCACACTCAGAATATCTTTCCAGCTATATAAATCGTCCTGAAATATTGTGTCCATCTCACTCATTCTCAAAAGAAGTGTTAAAGTCTGGCCTTGATTTACTTCCCATTCAGGCAACTGAAAGCATGCAAAAAGGATATATACCTGAGATGTACCTGCAGTACATAACACTGCCATTTTATGAAACTTTGTCCTGCTTTTCAAACAGTGGAAAAGATCAATGACTCTGATTAAGAGATTTAATATTTTTTTCTTTATTCCTTTGTAATCTTTTCTTGTTCCCCTCCCTTAGTCATTGGTTGCTCCTCACCACAGTAGTTCCTTTTTTTGCTTTCAAGTTTATTAAGTCTCAATTTTGCATATGAAGGAAAACATATGATACTTGTCTTTGTGATTCCAGCTTATTTCATTTAAAATGACAATTTCTAGTCCCATTCATTTTCCTGTGGCATAGTCTCATTCTTCTTTATGGTTGAATACTACTCTTTGTGTACCTGCAGCACATTTTCTTTATCCATTCGTTGATGGGCATCTTGGCTGATTCCATGAATTGATGCTTATAAATTGTGCTACAATACACATGGGTGTGCAGTTAACCCCACTTATTATACCTTAAATTTAGGGCAGTTACATAATATCTCTGAGCCAGCATTCTTTTCTGGGTTGATTTATTGTGGATACACTTGCAATTAGATTGGATTAAGCAAGTAAAGGGGCTAATAATTCAAGAATACACAAAATTTTGGTATTAAAGTGATATATTGTTCTTAGTAAATTGCACTGAATCTTCATACTCTTTAAGATATATTTTGACACACAAAATTTTTTTACTATTTGTGTAATGTTGCATTTTAATTTTGGCTTTTGTATAAGTATATGCTGTGTAACTGTAGCAGAATGACTAATTTTCCTTCATTTCTGCCTTCTCCAGAATCACAGAGGAAGCACCAAAAATAAAACAAAATGAAATAGACCCTGTCTCTTTCATTCCCTTCTGTAGTGTCCCATCAAACTTGAGACATAGTAAAATTACTATTTTTGTATGTATGTCATGGACACATGACAAATGGGCCTTATAATTTCTTATAACAGCATTATCAATACTTGATTCATTTGCCCAAAACCCAAAAGATCAGAAACAAAATGGACAGGAAATTTTACTGTTTGGTCACAAACACATTTTAGATGTTCACATAATTTCAAGGCTTCAGTGTCAGTATCACTATTTACTTAATAAATGATTCTTTTATTTTAAATACAACCACAATATTCAAGTGTTTATTAGGTTCCAAATTTTGATTACTGACAATACAAGTTTTGGTTATGCATGTTATATTCCCTATTTCTATTAAAAATATGAGCACAGAGAGGTACAGTGATTTACACATATTTTGCATGTGTAGCAAATCAATAAATAGGAATAAAATGTGGATTGTCTAATACCCATTTCAAGGCATGTTCTCTTTTACAGGAGCCAAATATCAATATTTCATGCAATAAAACTTTCTGGATTAGTTATCTTGGAATTAATCTTACTGAGTATTTTAGTGGTACATAATAAGTGGATACAGGTGATATCAAATCATTTTTTGTGGTATGCTGCCTTTCATGCTGGCTAGGCAGGCATTCTACCACTTGAGCCAAGAACTTAGCCCTCTTTTGCTTTGTTTATTTTGGACATAGATTGTTAGCTTTTGCCCTAGCAGGCCTGGACCAGGATCCTCTTATTTATGCTTTCTGCAGTAGCATGGACAGCAGGTGCTTGCCACCACACCCAGTATTTTCTATTGAGATGATGTGTTGAAATCAGGCCTGGAACCTTCATCCTCCTAATCTCAGCCTCCATCACAGATGGGATCAAAGTGTGTTCTTCTGTGCCCAGATATTGTTGGAGATACAATATCACAACCTTTTTGCCTAGACTGGCTTTGAGTTGCTATCCTTCCAATTTCAGCCTCTTAAGTATTAGGTGTACAGGTATGAGCCACTTATGCCCAGCTTGACTGACTTTTATTGGAACAGTAAATATAAGTGATTAACAGTAATATTGACTGTGCACCAATTTTGGGAAGTCAAAAACTATCTTCCAACCACATATTGTATAGCACTTGTCAGTTGTATGTCTTGGAGAAAGGCATAAGTATTTCAAAGGATTTAACAAAGTTACAAGCTAAATGATGTGTCTCCATCAGGCAATTTTCATATCCATTAAAAAATTAGAAACTTGTACAAACTTCACAGAGATATTTAAATATATTTCAACATAAAGTAGTGAGATTCATGGCAATAGTTGTCTAGTATTCTAATTCAATTAGATACTTATGCATATATAAATCAATACTTGTTTGGTAACAATGAGAGGAAAAACATCCCTTCAAATTCATGAAAATAGTTGTATTTGCAGGTTATGTGTACAGAATGGAATCATGTATGAATACTAAAAGAAATCTAAATAAAATGTTATTAAACAAATATTATCACAATGCTTTAAATATGAAATTCACTTCAAGTCATGTGTTGAATGCTTCCTCTCAACTGTTGCTAATATTTTGGAGGTGTTTAAAACTTTGGGAAATGGGGCCAGGCTGGAGTGTGTCACTGGGTTTGTCTTTTTGAAGGTTATACTGAACCGGGATTCTTTCCTTTCTCTCTGCTTCCTGCCTGTCATGAGGTAAGGAGCTTTTCATTATTCATTATCACTGTTCATGTTCCCAACTATAAATAAAAGGGTTTATGAAAGATTAACACTGAAAGATTGTCAATGGGACAATATAGGATATTATATCACTAAAAATCTAAATATCATTTGCTAGCTACCTCCAAAGATGTGTATGGAGTTGCTATAACTATAGTTGCATAAAGTAATAAATAAAAAAATTACAAAATTCTTACAATGTATCAAATACATCATAGTTGAATTCATCCCTTCCACTGTACTCCACCTATTCCTGTAATGGTTTCAACAGTTACCATTAGTGTTATATTGTAAGAAGTTTTGTAAATGCCACAATGCACCATCACATAGAATAGCAATGAAAAAAATTAAAATAAAAAGACAAATTAGTGCAATTAATACCACTGAAGTATCTGCTAAATATTTTTAAATTCATAAGCTCTTAATATATCTGTCACTAATATGGAACTAGAAATAACACAGAAAGAACTTTGAACATATATAGAAGTGTTTGTTTTCAGATCATATAAATATTTCAAATGTTAGTAAATGCATAGATATGAAGGAGGGATTAGGACACAGGAAATTGCCTGAAAAAGAAAGATTGCAAAATCTACTGTGGACATTCATTTCTCTTTTTCTTATGTTAATAACAGTAAATCCTTAAAGGATGAGTTTTTTGAGCAAGTATGATTACTTAGGAATTCTGCACACTGAAACACCAAGGTCATGTAATCCACAATTAGCCTATTCTCCAGCCCTTTCATTTGGATAATCCCAGACAATTTGGACCATATATTTTTCTCTTTCAACCATTGCTTGAATCCAGAATCATCTTAGTGACACAATTCCTGTACACCCAAGGGACATGGGTCTTAGCTTTCCTCATATGCTAATCATGGGAGGATGCTCTGATCTGGTCTCCTTGGTCATCACTCAGCAGAGAAGCATTTTCACTTAGTAAGTGCTGTGAAATGTTGGATGTGGGAAGGAATACTGGAAGTTTTGTTTCCTCATCCCAAGGACAAACCTGACAACTTGGGTATTCAGGTAGGAGGATACTAATATATAATTTCAATTATGAAAACTATGAAGTATGTATTCCTGGTTTTGGTGGGGTTAACAGGAAATTTTATTCAGAATTTCTTTTCTGCTATCAGTGCTGCTAAAGTGTAGATACCACACTCATAGCAGCAGGTATAGTTTCTCTAAACTGATTCCTTAGCAAAGAATGGTGAAGAAGAAAGGAGGAAGGTAAAAATATCATCTTTACTTGTTTTACAGTTCTTTCCCATTTGCAGGGGCTTAGCAATGATTTTTCTGTATCTTGTTTTATTTAAGATTTTCATGTTCCTCTAGACAAAAGTACCACATTATTATTGTCT